TATTATTATATTATATAATATTATAATATATATATATTATTCTACATTTTGTTTTATCTCCGCGACATTACTATAGTTAGTAGTAGTAGTAGTAGTTTTAGTAATAGTAATGTATTATATATTATATAATATTTTTCTTTTGTTTTACGACTATTATTATTATTCCCATTGCGATGTATTACTGTATTTGTTTGTTTTGTTTATGTATAATATTGCATTATTATATCATATATGTGAGATTATATGTTAGTGAGAGAGAGAGAGAGAGAGAGAGAAACTAAAAGACATGAATTGTTTTTCATTTTAAATACAGACACAAAACTCTTAAAACAATTTATGGGTTTTAATGCCGAAACAGAAATCCCTTTAGTAATGACTCTTTTGGATAATCATATCCCAGTGTTTTTAGCTCTCTCTCTCTCTCTCTCTCTCTCTCTCTCTCTCTCTCTCTCTCTCTCTCTCTCTCTCTCTCTCTTTATCTTATATATAGTTTATGTTTGTTAGTAATGGCTTTATATATATTATATTGTAATATACCATTTTTCTGGATAAGCCATTAACGGTTGTGTATGTATGTATGTATGTACTATACAGTATATATGTGTGTGTATATATATACGGTATATACTATATATATATATATATATATATATATATATATATATATATATATATATAGGTATAGTACAGTATACACCCAAATGTATATAACGTACAAGTATTAAATTTATATATTTAATAGGGTTTCAGTGTCAAGTGATGATAATAATTTACCCATGATAGTTTTCTATATTATTATTATTATTATTTTGTTTTATATAGGATTACAATATTATTATTATTATTATTATTATTATTATTATTATTATTATTATTATTATTATTATTAGAAATATAATGATTATTAATAGTTTATTTGATTTTTGTTGAACTCTTGAAAGTTATATATTGTTTTTGGTTTTTAATTGAATGGATTTTTTTTTAGTATTAATAGAACTTAACAAAAATAAAACAAAATGATTGACAACATTATGTTTCTCTCTCTCTCTCTCTCTCTCTCTCTCTCTCTCTCTCAATGTTTGTCCTAATGGGAGTTGTTGTTGCCATTAACCAGTGTTTACTGTATATTCATTTATGCCAAATGTTTTATTTTGCAAATATATATATCAATTCCTATTATTTTATTATACACCAAACGATAATATATATATATATATATATATATATATAGTATAGGAATAATATACTAAAGAGTGAGAGAGAAAGAGAGACTAATGATATACGGAATAATAATTTATTGTTTTATTAGCCATCGATTTTTGTTGTTGTTTGCCATTTATACTATAGATATATTATATGATTGTTTGTGGGCTTTTTAAATGTATTGTGTGTGTGTGTGTGTGTGTGTGTGTGTGTGTGTGTGTGTGTGTGTGTGTGTGTGTGTGTGTGTGTGTTTGTGTGTGTGTGTGCTATATCACCAGTGAATTGACTTTTTTTTCTCTATACTGTACTGTATATTACAATATTATATGTATTGTTTGCTTCAATAATTTTGTTGCCAATTTTGGAGACCATTTTGTGTGTGTATATATATGTGTGTATCACTTAATATTAATAATAGTATTATTTGCTATATATATATATATATATATATTCTAGCATTTTATTAGTCAATTTTATTATTTAGTTGGCTAAAATTATTGTTAAGGTTTTTATGTTAATTTAAATACATTATGTGTGTGTGTGTGTGTGTGTGTGTGTGTGTGTGTGTGTGTGTGTGTGTGTGTGTGTGTGTTGTACAGTATTTTATTTCATTATACACACTCATTGCACACAATAATTTTTTTTTGCAATGACAATAATATATGTATCTTTTAGCTTATCTATATACGATATATATATATATATATGTATATATATATATATATATATATATAGTATTTTTAGTTTAACTTTTAGGGCTTGGATTTTATTGATGGTGTCTATTGAGTGGAAATGTATTTAATGTTATTTAGCATTTAAACAGCGCTTCAATCTATATATATATAATGTTGTACTCAATTGATTAATTTGTTTTGAAATTTGATTACACAGACTATAATGTTATTTGTTGTAAAGTATTAGTAGTGTATGTGTAGTGTATTGTTATTTAAAAATAAAAAAATAAAATTGAAATTTATTATCTAATATTTCAAATATAATACTATTTTATATGTGATTTTTTATTATTATTGTTGTTGATTGAATTTACATTAATATGGCTAATATTGATATATACTTTATACAGTATATATTGATATATAAAGTTTTTATATATATATTTATTTTGTTTGTTATGTTTGTAAAAAAATCGTTTGACTTTTAGATATATATATATATTCAATGATAAATACATTTCCATAATAAATAACTCTCTATTGAATAATATACATGTAAGATATATATATGTATATTATATAGTAATATAAATATAAAACAATTTTTTTCATTCAAATTTTTT